GGACGATGTTGATGGAGTGCAGGTACTGGATCACCTCCAGCAGCGCTCGCATGATCTTCCTGGGGATGGGGACAGCTCATTCCCTGTCCCAAATACCCACTGGCACCATGATCCCAGGGAAAGGGACAGGGACAGTGCACAGGGACACAGCCCAGGGTGCTGTGTTCTCCCCTCAAACACACCCTCTGCTCTTGCAAGGTGATTTTCACCCCTCTGCACCTGGCCTTACCTGGTTTCTTTCTCGCTCAAGGTGACTTTCTCAGTGAGGTAGTCAAAGAGCTCCCCTCTCTTCATCCTGCATGAGGGAGGGGAAACAGAGTCAGGCAGAAGCTGAGCTGCAACAGCAAACCAGCCCTGAGTCCCTGGGGAGGATTAATCAGGGGTCTGTGCCTCTTAACAGCCCAAAATAACTTTCATTAAAAAGGGTAAAAATGCCTTTATATATTTCAGTAAAATATCAGGCAGGAGGAGAAGAAGCTGTGTCTGGAGAGGGCAAGTTTTGGATAGAAACACAATTGTTAAGGTTGGAAAAGGTCTTTAAGATCACCAAGTCTAACCATCAAAGATGGGGCAGGGATGAGGCTCTCCCAGTGCCATCCCACTCCTCTGACATCCATTGCACTCTCCTGGCATTGGGAATCGTGGCTTTGCAGACACCCTGGTCCCACTGAGCATATAAATAACCCTCAGGGATGCATGACAGCTCCCACCAAAGGTTACAGGGAAACCCGAGCAGTGCTGAGCCGCTGACAGAGGGAAAACAGTGCTGGCAGCAGAACTGCAATGAGCTTGCAGTAATTGGGGCTTGATTCTACCTTAAGGGCTGCTTGTCCCTCCACTTTGCCATTTTTGGGCCATAAAAAGTCAGGAACAATCTGCAGAGAGGGAGTGGACCCAGGGTGCTGAGCCAGCTGGTACTTACAGGTCAAACACCAAGAAGAAGAAGGTGCTGGATTCATAGCTGTCCTTCAGCTGGACTGTAATAAAGCACAGGGGCTGTGAGCACAGTGTTCCTATCCATCAATAGACTAAAAATCTGATTAAACTGCTAATTGAGTTAATGAAGAGCTGATCTTCACAAGTGTTGTGCTTGGGAGACAACAGGGGGGCACTGCTGGGGTGTGTGCGTGGAGGGAGAGCAAACAATGCTCTGAGCAGGTGCTTGGCATCACCCAGGGATTTCACCCCAAAAACCCTTCCTGGGGACACCCTGAGGAACAAACAGGGCAGAAATTGCCCTTGAGTGGATGCTCAAGGCCTGACTTACTGACGTTGGGGTGGCCCGAGACCTTGCGGAGGATGTCGATCTCCTTGGTGGTGGCTTCCCGCAGCTCCTGCACCTCCTTGGGGGAGATGTTCCCCGCCGTGATGTCGATGATCTTCACGGCGTATTCCTGCCTGGTGGTTTTATGGATGCAGCGCCGGACCACGCTGCTCACCCCCCTGCCAGGGACAACAGGGACAAAAGGGGGGTTGGTTCCATCCCTGCCTGCCCAGCCACCGGCACCTGGGCTGGCTGGGATTTTCATGCACCAGCGGGTCTCGCTCTGTCGCCCTGTCTCGGTGGGACAGAAGGTTTTGAGCTGATGGAAAGTGCTGTTCTATGCTATTTTTAGCCCCATGCTGCTGTGGGCCCTGTTTGTATCAGATTCCCAGGGAACACTGTTCCTATCTGGCACTGGAGGACATGAAACCAAAACAAGCCGCTTGCCAAAAATAAAGCTTTACCTGCCCAAAACCTCCTTCGGCTCATATTTTTCATAAAACTCCTTGGATGAGTTCCAGTCTGGTAGATCTTCTTCCTTGGTCATCTCTGGCTCCTGTCAGGCAGCACTCTGGGCTTGTCTAAGGGCAGAAAGGAGCTGCAAGGAAAAAAGAGCCAGGATAGGCACTCACTGCCCCCAGAGCTGGGATCATCAATCCTTTGTGGAAGAAAAAACATTGAGGAGGAAAGAAGAGAAGGAAGATCCTGGACCAACCAAAAGGGGTATTTTGCTGCTTGGAAAAGCCAAGCTCTGCCCTTGGGATGCTGCAGAGATCCCACTGGAAACAGGAGAAACCCCACTGGATTCCCTCATAGCCTGGCTGTCCCCAGGGGCAGAACCAGCCTGGCTGGGGCCAACGCTTTGGGACATGCTGCAGCACCCCAAAATCTCATCCCTTCCCTGTGCCCAGCTCACAGCAACAGCCTCCAGAAACACCACCCCACACCAACACCACCCCAAGTGGAATCTGGAAGCTGGAATTGGCCCCTGTTGTTTTCCTTATTATTTTTAGGATGACAAAATTGTCTTTGGCTGAGAAGAAGGGAAAATAGTGTTTAAAGGGAATAGAAATGCACTGAGGAGGAAAAAGAGGTGGTGGGGGTCCGTGAAGCAGCAAGAAGGGCTGGGTAGGTCAGGGTGCAGGTGGGGACAGGGGGACTGGGGACAGTGGGAGCTGAGCCAGTGTGAGGACAGCAGCTCAAAGAGCTCCCTCAGCCACTCTGGTGCGGCTGCCAGCAGCCTCCACTACTCCTGAAAGGCTCCTGTCCCATTTCTATTTCAGGCTTTGGGGGTTTTATACAGTTTGTTTGTGTGCCCCTTCACGGAGTCCAAGCAGACAGGATGGAAAGCAGTTCTTACAATTCTGGGCAGCAAAATTGTCCCTTTGGGATGACAGTTTGTTGCTGGGGAGGGGACAGAGGTGGGCAGGAGATCCCCAGGTCTGTGAGCTTCCCTTTGCCCTCCTCTCAATAACTCTGCCAGGGCACTGACAGCTCTAAGTACATTTAAATCTCATTAGCAATGTGTTATCAGGCCTGACCTGATTTTAAGGACCAAAGTGCTGTTTTGGGTGTCTGGCTGCTGCTGCTAGAGATGTCTAACACAGGCTGGGGCATTTCTAAACAGCCATGAGCTTAACTTACAACATTTTAGTTGTTGGAAATACTGCGAGTAATGCCAAACCAAACTGAAATCACAAAGGAGAGGCAGAACCAGGAAGTAGGAAAAATAAAATATCTTTGAGGTGGGGAAGGCGAGGGGGTGGTAACCAAAATCTGATTATATTTGAAAATCCAGATGCTGGGGGTTGGTGTTGTGGGGAAGAGCTGGAGGCTGGGGAGCACTGCCAGGAGAAGCCTGTAATCTGCGTGCTGCCTTCTCCTGGGAGGGAAGAACCGGGAGTTTGTTTAGAACACCCTGGAATTATAAAAGCAGCAGGTGCAGGGCTCTAACGGGACACTGTGGGTTCATCGGCAGAGTGTGAGCGGGGTCGAGAGGGGATTTTCTGCCGGGAGGAACACTGAGGGTGAGGCGCAGCTGCCAGACGTGTGGGGGGGCAATCTCTGAGGAGGACAAAGACATTTAAATATCCATCGGGATAAACCCGCACAGCTCAAGAAATAAAGCAAGCTTTTAGGCTTTTAGGCCAGCGGGGGAATACGGCCCCTCTCCCTCAGCCGCTGAGCCGGAGACAAAGAACGCTGAGCACGGGAGTTTTCCCGGACAAGACCCCCCCCTCACAACCCTCCCTCAGCGCCGCCGGCTCCTCACCTCGCTGAGGGCAGCGCCGGGCTGGGCCCGGGCCTGCGGCGGGGAGCCGCCGGGAGCCTCCGGGAGCCGCCGGGAGCCGCCGGGAACCTCCGAGAGCCGCGGGGAGCCGCCGGGAGCCGCGGGGATCCGCCGGGAGCCTCCGAGAGCCGCCGGGAGCCGAGCGCTCAGGGCCGGCCGCCGCCGCCCGGGCCCGCGGAGAGAGTTGGCAGCGGAGCGGGCATGGCCGGGCCACCGGCAAAGGGGGGGCCGGGGGCCGCCCCGGAGCTGCGGCACTTCCCCGGTTTAACCCTTCCGCCGCCCGCGTTGCTCTGGGGCTGCCCCCGGCACGGCGGGGCTCGGCCGGGAGGGCCGGGCAATCGGGAAAGGTGGGAGGGAGCTCTCGGAGCAGCCGGTCCCAGCGCTGCCGCCCCGGTCCTCACCCAGCGCCGGGTCCGGGCACCTCCAGGGATGGTGACTCCGCAGCTTTTCTGGGAAATTATTCCAATGCCTGACTACCCACTGGTTTGTTTTTTTTTTTTTTTGTCTCCTCCTAATATCTAACCGAATCTCCCGTTTCTTCGTGTCACAGAGTGGTCCAAACCACCCACTGGTTTTATTTCAGTTTTTTTTTTACCCCAGAAATGAGATGAGAGCTGGATCAGCAGAGGCAAAGCTGCTCCTGTCACCAGGACACAGTTCCGTCCTCATCGCCCCTGCGGGAGGCGTCTCCTCTCCCTCCTCAACACCGATTTACTTTCCACTTCCAGGAACTGCAGGTGAGAGGTGAAGTGCTTTAGGAACAGCCAACAGACTTCAGGGAAAACAGGTCGTGCTAGGAAAAGTATTTTTAACAGGAACTGCACTTTTCAGAGCACGGTTATTCCCCACCAGAATTCCTGGTGGGAGCACAGCTTAGCCAGGTTTTCCACTGGCATCCAGGAGGGTGTTTACTTTAGCAGCCCCAAGGATTTCAGTGGCTGCTCCCTGCAATGGGAAAAGCGGGGTTTGCACTTTGCATCAGTAAATACTTTAAAAATAATTACTATTTTCATGTAGCAGCAGTGGCTTTGTCACTTGCCTGAGCCAGGCAGGAGGGAAGGCCACAGGCTCATCCTCTCTCATAGTTCAGCCCTATTACAGCATGAAAAGAACACCCTGCCAAAATCAATTCTCACCTCCTCATCCTTCTACTCCAGCACTCAAACTCAACTAAACCAAGGTAGTTCTAGAGAGAAGTTTATTTATAGACATTACATACATTCAACACAACAATCAGCAAAACCAGTTAAACCCACATTAGTTCATTCTGCTTTATTATTCACTCTTCCATTTTGTGCTAAATTAAATTGTGGCTGTGAAGTTAGATCACATCAGAGGCAGCTATGGCAGGAATCAAGCCACAGGGATGAGAGTGTGAATACATGAACTAACAAGATACCAGACAGCTTTAAACTTTATTACTGAAGCTTTTTGTTTTTCATTCATAGGTCAGTTCTTGCAAGATGATCTTCAGCAGCCTCCTTGTGCCAGCTTAAGCCAAACCTGAAAGGGAAAGAGTTATCTCAGTGAGTTTTGGATCCCTGAATGGAAGGGTAAGGAGGTATCTCAGTAAATTCTGGATTCCTGAATGGAAGGGTAAGGAGGTATCTCAGTAAATTCTGGATCCCTGAATGGAAGGTGTTTTCCCTGCCACAGGCCAGATTTGTCACGGTGTTCCCCCTTCCCTCAGGGGATATCCCAGCATTTGCTGGGATATGCTGAGCTGCAGACATTGCACAGCTGCCTCCTTCCTCCCAGGACAGGATGGTTTCACAGTCCTTAGAGCTCTGCTAATGCCCCAAATGTGCTGTTGCCACTTTTCCAGTAATCTTCAATCCATGCACCAGCACAAAAAATCAGGAATTCTCCCTCTCTCCACTCCACAGCACCCAAGCACGAAGCCAAACAGAACAGCAGCTGCTTTACCTGACTTCAGAGCATCTTCATCAGTCCCCAGCTGGATCAAACCCCCAGGACATCATTTCCATGATACTTTTACAGATTATCCCCAAATTTAACAGCTGCCTGCCAGCACTGTGTACTTACCATTGGCAACCCTGCACTGCTTGAGCACCTCACTGAAGCCCTCACACAGCTTGAGGTCAGTCTGGTTCTGGGCACACTCCAGGAACTGTTTAATTTCATACTGGCAAGGACCCTGCAGCTGCTGGGCAGCCTGAGCGGCCTGGGGCTCCTGAAACACCAAATGGCTCTGTAAGAACCCTTCCAACAAAGCCAAACCACCCCCACACTGCTTGCTGAGGGTTCTTCCCTGCATTTCAGTCAAATCTTCATTTATTTTAAATAAGAAAAAGCGAAAGCTAAAATACAAAACAATATTCCAGCAAAAGAATGCCACATTCAGAGCAGTTATTTAAATTACAAACACTTGAGTGATTTTGATACATTCAGGTAATTCTGGATGGCACCTGAGCAAAGGTCTCCCCAACATCAGACCTGGAACATGGAAGTCCTGCCTGAATCAGAGAAATACAGTAGAAAATAACACCAACACCTTGCCACACATCCCTCTGAACTCTTTATAAGATGACTCATGGTGAGTTACCTTGGAGATTCAGTCTGTAGCTACAGACTGTATATATTTTTAATATATATACAGTCTATATAAAAACTTTAAGCATCTCAGCTGTGATTCATGTGGTGTTTAAGGCTCCAGCAACTCCCTCAGCCCACACAGAGCCGAGCTGCCATCAGTCAGTGTCCAGCTGTGCTCCCCCTCACCTGGTAAGTGATATCAGGCCTGGCAGCTTCGGAGCTGCTGCCTCCACTGAACCCTCCGGTGATGGCGTGGCCGATGGTGTGTCCCACAGCCGAGCCCACGGCCACCCCGGCAGCAGTTGTGGCCATCTGGGCCATCAGCCCCGGCTGCTTTGGGGCTGGGGTCGCCACGGCAGAAGGCGGAGCCGCAGCGGGGACAGAGGCCTGAGGAGCCGGTGATGGAGACGCGGCTCTCCTCGGGGGTGCCCGGCTGCGGGGACACAAAGAAAAACATCACTTCATCATCATTTCATCATCATCATCCCAAACCATGCCGGGCAGAGGCCACGTGGCCGCAGGGCCAGGAGTTCACCGTTCCTCCTGCGGCACGGAATGTCCCGAGCTGGAAGGGACATCAGTGTCACAGAGTGCGCTGCACAGGAGGCCCAGGATCACGCTGGGATTACACACGCCCCTGTTACACGCTGAAGGAGTGAACTTGGTGTTCTGCTAAGCATCTTATGCAAGACAGGGTCCGGATTACAGGCTTCCTTCTGCCTGGTTACTCCCCAGCTCACATAGCTGTTTTGAGGAAAAACGCAATTCAACCCAAAAGCGGTTGATTACCCTGGTGTTGGCGCCCAGGCCCTGCTGCCGAGCAGACCCACTTCCACGCCCCAAATCGCCCAACCCCGCTCCGCGAACTCATATCCAGCCCAGCACAGCCCAACCGGGCGCTGCCACCACCCCAGCGCGTCACCCTCCGCACAATGGCGGCCAGGCCACTGCGGCCTGCGCGGGCACAGGAGAGAAGGAGAGGGGGGCCCTCACCTAGCGGGGGGCGGCACGCGGGACGTGCGGCTGCGGCTGCCCCTGGGCATGGCGGCGGGGAGCGGAGGGGAGCAGAGGAAGCCCCGAGTGACGCGGAGGAAAGCGGAGAAATCCCGGAGCGGCGCGGCCCGGCCTGACAAACGCACGCCGCCTCTGAAGGTCACCGCGCGTGCGTCACTTCCGGAACGCCGCGCGTGGGGCGGGGCCAGGGGAGGCCACGCCCCCTCCGCCCGCCTGAGGCGCCGCGCGGTGGCGGCGGGAGCGGCGGTCGCAGTGAATAAATAAATATCTAAACTGCGGTTAAACGCCTGCTTGGGGGGCTGTTGGTCATAATAAAGGTTTAAATAGCGATAGACCTACATGTGCCGGATTTTAATCCACAATAAGCGTCTAAATTGTGATAAATAGGCGCGCGCAGGATCCTCAGTCACAATAAACGGTTATATCGTGATAAACCTGCCTTTGTAGGATCCTCAATCATAATAAACAGTTATATCGTGATAAACTTGCCTTTATAGGATCCTCAGTCACAATAAACAGTTATATCGTGATAAACCTGCCTTTGTAGGATCCTCAATCACAATAAACAGTTATATCGTGATAAACCTGCCTTTGTAGGATCCTCAGTCACAATAAACACCGAAATAGTGTTAAACCCACGTCTCTGTGGGACTTTCTGTCACAATACGCACCTACATAGTGATAAATCCGCTCTTGTAGGATCCTGAGCCACAATAAACACCGAAATCTGTGAGGGACCATCGGTCTCTAAATAAATACCTAAATCTGTGAGGGAGCATTGGTCTCTAAATAAACACCTAAATCTGTGAGGGACCATCGGTCTCAATAAACATCTAAATCTGTGAGGGACCATCGGTTTCAGTAAACACCTAAATCTGTGAAGGAGCATCAGTCTCTAAAGAAATAAACACCTAAATCTGTGAGGGACCATCAGTCTCTAAATAAACACCTAAAGCACAATAAACCTGCACCCGTGGCACCTTCAGTCACAATAAAAACCCAGATCGCCATGGAACATGTTCCAGCCTTCATAGAATCGTTCTCTGTGGAAAACGAGCCTCCAAAAGCCTCTTTGAATTCAGCCCTTCGGTAAAGTTACAGATTTTATTTTATTTCTATGGATTCATGGGATCCTCTCTCTGGAGCAGAGAGGGGATCCCGTCAATCCATAGAAATATCTCCAAGGGGTGCCAGAGGATGATCCTGGATTATTTTCTGTGATGCCCAGCAACAGGACAGGAGTAATGGCCATATACTAAAACACAACAAATTTCCCCTCCACACAAGAAAGAATTTCTTTATGTTGAGGGTGGCAGAGCTCTGAACCTGCAGCGTCCCTCTCTGGTGACATTCCAACCCCACCTGGATGTGTTCCTGGGATGATGTCCAGAAGTCCCTTCCAACCCAAACCACTCTGTGATTCTGTGATTTTCAACCCAAAAAAGAAGCGAGGGTCACTCCTGCCCCCTCATCCCCACCCAGGGGCTGAGTCTCTTTGCTTTAGAGACGCTGTCTACTTGGAGAAATGAATTTTTAAATTAATTTATTAACTACTGTGTTAATGAAGCTCTTTCTATACACAGCAGCAATGATAAGGGATACCACAGTCAACAGTTATGATACTTCACGACCAAAAAATTGCTTGTTGGCAGTTTCTTCACTTAAAAAGAGGTGAAAGACCGGGAATTTCAACATCTTTTACACCAGGGGATGTAACTGTTGCCTGATGAAAGAAGTGCTAACGTTGTGAGGTTACAGAGCAGAAGTACAGCTCAGAAAAGCAGTTGCTGATGAGAGAAGATAAATATAAATTATAAACCATGTTCAGAACAGGGACATCTGCAGAAACTCCGACCTCTGGTGTTCCTGCAGGAGAGCTTCTTCTCCCTGGCTTTTGGCTTCTCTCCATCTCTGAGAGCAAATCACAGCACAGAAAGCACGAGCTATAATTTTGCTTTTCTAGAGTTCAAGCAGCTCCTTTCTTAATGAGTGGTTTTCTCATTGCTTTTTAATTAATAGTTTTCAATTTTCCCTCTTTTTTTTTTTTTTTTTTTGCTGGCAGAGCGATTCTTGACGCTTGAAGTAATTTTGCGACCCCGTCCCTCTTGGATTTGTTTTGTTTTGCAGAACAATGAGGGCAGGATGGCACTGCAGGCGGGATGAATGCTGCCATTGTGCTTTGTCCTCCTGCTTTCCTTGGGAAAACTCCAGAGCTCCCTTTTGTACCAGCTCACCCTCACATCTGCTGATGCCACAGTGCACAAGGATTTGGGGAAGGGCACGAGAACCAGTAGCTGGTGGCCATCCCAAAAAGAAAATCAGCAATAATTGTGCTTGTGGTGATGTTCACAGCCAGCAAAGATGGTTTATTTTCACCCGCCATGGCTTTTATGTGGGTACATCACAGGGATTAAGTGGTTCTTTAACCACCAGCCAGGTGCTGATGATTCTTTCTATAAAAACATGTGAAATAAAGAAGATCCAGCCCTGATTTTGGGGTGTCTGTCTGATCGTGGCCCGGTGTGACAGAATGGGATCGCAGATCTGGGAAAAAAGTGATGAAATCCCATTGCTCAAGTGCAAGGCTGACAAGCCCTGGGGGAATCCAGCAGCAGCTGCTCCTGAGCCAAGTGCAGCACAAGGCTGTGGTGTGATCAAATAGATTTAATAGATTTCTTCTATTGTCTTCCAAATTACACATCCCAGACAAGCTCATGGTGAGTTTGGCATGTAACAGGCCCTGTGCACAGCAGATGGGCTCTGTGCAGGATGCAGGAATTTGGGACATTCTGCCCAAAATGAGGGAAAATCACCAGGAGAACGGGGCTGAGGCTCACATCACCTTAGCTCCGGTGAAGTGACACAGCATCCCTGAGGTCACATCAGCCAGGAAGGCTTTGCTCGCGTTTTTCGGAACTGCCCGGTTTCCCCCGTGTCCCAGATTGGAGGGAAAAAACGCAAGGAAAAGCCAATTTTCCTTTTGGAAATGTCCATTTTCCTGCTGGGAAAGCCAGTTTTCCCTCTGGAAAAGCCCATTTTCCTTTTGGAAAAGCCCATTTTCCTCCAGGAAAACCCCATTTTTATTTTGGAAAAGCCCATTTTCCGTCTGGAAAAACCCGTTTTCCTGCTGGAAAAGCCCATTTTCCTCCGGGAAAAGCCAATTTTCCCGCTGGAAAAGCCCATTTTCCTTTTGGAAAACCCCATTTTCTGCTGGAAAACCCCATTTTCTTCCAGGAAAAGCCCATTTTCCCACCTGAAAATCCCTTTTTTCATTTGGAAAAGCCCATTTTCCGTCTGGAAAAACCCATTTTCCTGCTGGAAAATCCCATTTTCTCTCTGGAAAAGCCCATTTTCCTGCTTGAAAAGCCCATTTTCTTTCGGGAAATGCCCATTTTCCCTCTGGTAAAGCCCATTTTCCTGCTTGAAAAGCCCATTTTCTTTCGGGAAAAGCCCGTTTTCCCTCTGGAAAAGCCCATTTTCTCTCTGGATTCGGGCGGGGCGCAGCGTGAGGGGACCCAGCCGGGGCTAGCGGCGGCCGCCAGGGGGCGCTATGCCCCCCCACCCCCTCCCCGGCCTGACGTGACGTCAGCGCGAGGCGCCACGTCCGGCGCGAGCGGCGCGGGGCGGGGTTGGGAGGGGGGGGGGGAAGGAGTGCGGGGGGGGGGTGGTTGTGGCGCGCCCGCCCGGCCAGCCAATGGGGTTCGCGCGCGCGTGCGCGGCCGGCCAATGGGGAGCGCGCGCGTGCGCGGGGCGGGGCGGCGCCGGGCGCGCGTCGCGGGCTGAGGCGGAGGGACGGGGCCAAGATGGCGGCGCCCGTCCTGCTGAGGGTGTCGGTGCCGCGCTGGGAGCGGGTGGCGCGGTCCGCCGTGTGCGCCGCCGGCATCCTGCTGTCCCTGTACGCCTGCCACCTGGAGCGCGAGAAGGGCCGCGACAGCCACTACCAGGCCCTGTGCGACCTCAGCGAGCGGGTGCGCTGCTCCGCCGCCATCACCTCCAGGTGAGGCGCGGGTGGGACCCGCCGCCGCCCCCGCCGGGGGAAGGGGCTGAGGGATGCGGGAGAGGTGGGGACGGGTCCCGGAGTGCTGCCTCGGGGTGTGCTGGGGGCCGGGCCGGGGCTCGGAGGGGCTGCGGGCGGGGCGGGGGCAGCGCTGTGGTGTGGGGCAGCCCCATGGCCGGACGGCTGTTGGGGAACGGGGATTTTCGGCATCGCTACGGCTGCAGGGTGAGGCGCCCGCAATTGCTGTGTTGTAATCAGCAGCAATTAGGTGAGTGACAGGCGTTTTAGTGGTAAAAGCTGGGGAGAGCGGCAT